CACTTCTACAATAGCTAGCAACGGGGATGCCCTTGCATGACAATTGACATTGGACTCGAGGTAGGTTTGCATTTCTACATGACCCAAAATATAAGGTCATATAAACTTCCACATATTGTAAAACATAAAATGTTTTTATATTGTAACGCAGATGCGTTACATTTTTTTCATCTTTCATGCTGAACTGCAAGCTGTGCCACAAGCTGAAACACGGCCATCTGCGAGCGCCGCACAGACACGGTCAGCCGGCTAAATCGGCTGTGATACCCTCTCTCCGTCCCAGCTGCCGTCCACACAGACGGCGCAGTAGGCTCTGACAAACAGGGGTCCTCTATAGATGACCACCCCACTTCATGAGAACCCGGATCTGAAGCCAACAAATAGCATACCGAAACGCGCCATTCTGCCAGCCTCGAGCCATTAATCAGTTTAGCCTTTGGAAAACAAGACTCTGTCCCACGCTCGGCACCCCGCCAGACAACAAGGAGAGGGGAGTGCAGACCGGCCCTGATTTGAACCAAAACAAGAAAGGGGAGCGGGGACCGACCCGGTTTGTACGAAAACAGGATGAAATGGAACTCGGTCGCCAACGACAAAATATAGGACATCTGGCCGGAGCTGACTTCAAAACAAGGGGGAGCGGAGGGCCAGGCCCGCCACCTGGCACCTCAGGCGCCGTGAGCGCCGGCGGCGAATTCCACCCGATCGCCACGTGAAAGGGTGCGACTGCATGGCCGGGGGTGCCGAACTTCAGCAAATCACGAACGTTTGAAGGCGGAGCCAAACGCACTTTCTGAGAATGGAGGACGAAGATTGGACAAGGAGATGCTGCCCGGCCCTCTGAAGTATGACGTCATCAAAAGTATAAGTTGATGAAACGGAACTGGAACGCCCTCTGGTCCTCGCTCTCTCGGACGACGCATCCCGCGCCGGTGGCACTCTCGGCCCACGTCTCTCGTCTGACATCGCGGACAGCCCACGAGACACCAGCGGCTGGCATCACGGCGCCGGCGGCGGCTCTGGCCGCCGGGCCGGGCGCTGGACGGACACGACCATCATGTCAGCGACTCCATCTCAAGTAAGGTCACGCGGTGAACACGGGTGCGCACCTAGTCCCTAAAATCCTTCAAGTAACCCCCCCCCCCTCGTTACTGCTATGTGAGCCACATTATATTCCCCTTTTTAGGTGTCGTCTGCAATGTTTTAGGCCATTCAGTTTAGGTAGTTAAATTTATTCTTGGGACTTTCAGTCTAGGTAGCTTAAGTTCACAATTCGATTTCGGTAAACTATGTAACTGTGCGCGTGGCGCGAGACGCGTGCCGACGTGGACCCTCGTCCGGCGCCCCGTGGTGATTAAGGCGGACGGAGGGGATTATACACCGTGGGGAGTCTGGAAAGGGACGGGCGACTGTGTACCGCACCGCGCGGCTTGTGGGGCTCAGTTGATGGGCGGCCTGGGCCCAGAATGTTTCTTTTAAATTTGACGTGTAAGGGAATTTAAGGTGTTGCGTCGGAGTATGTAAATAAATGGGACTTGTAAATATTGAAATACGAGTGTGAGTATAGTGCTGAAGGGCAGGGATCGGAGGATGGAGCATAAAAGGCCATATGCCAACCCACAGTCGGGAAAGAGGTCATTTCCAAGGTGTCTGGCCAGAGCAATTTACAACGATCAGTTTTCTTTATCTGTTTGATTTTACACAGTGCACACAGGGATTATACGGGGAGCACAGAACACACACAGGACCTCCCTAGCCTAGCCGATACTGGAGCTTCTCCGGTTGACTCCTAAGTGCCCTTGCCAGTGGATTTCCTGGCACTCCATCCTCCCCAAATTATCCCACGGTCCAAACAATAGCGATTACACACAACATACACAGGACCTCCCTAGCCTAACCGATACTGGAGCTTCTCCGGTTGACTCCTAAGTGCCCTTGCCAGTGGATTTCCTGGCACTCCATCCTCCCCAAATTATCCCACAGTCCAAACAATAGCGATTACACACAATACACACAGGACCTCCCTGACCTAACCGATACTGGAGCTTCTCCGGTTGACTCCTAAGTGCCCTTGCCAGTGGATTTCCTGGCACTCCATCCTCCCCAAATTATCCCACGGTCCAAACAATAGCGATTACACACAACACACACACGACCTCCCTAGCCTAACCGATACTGGAGCTTCTCCGGTTGACTCCTAAGTGCCCTTGCCAGTGGATTTCCTGGCACTCCATCCTCCCCAAATTATCCCACGGTCCAAACAATAGCGATTACACACAACATACACAGGACCTCCCTAGCCTAACCGATACTGGAGCTTCTCCGGTTGACTCCTAAGTGCCCTTGCCAGTGGATTTCCTGGCACTCCATCCTCCCCAAATTATCCCACGGTCCAACAATAGCGATTACACACAACACACACCGGACCTCCCTAGCCTAGCCGATACTGGAGCTTCTCCGGTTGACTCCTAAGTGCCCTTGCCAGTGGATTTCCTGGCACTCCATCCTCCCCAAATTATCCCACGGTCCAAATAATAGCGATTACACACAATACACACAGGACCTCCCTGACCTAACCGATACTGGAGCTTCTCCGGTTGACTCCTAAGTGCCCTTGCCAGTGGATTTCCTGGCACTCCATCCTCCCCGAATTATCCCACGGTCCAAACGATAGCGATTATACACAACACATACAGGACCTCCCTAGCCCAACCGATACTGGAGCTCCTCCGGTTGACTCCCAAATGCCCTCGCCAGCGGATTTCCTGGCACTCCACTAATCAATTTACCAACGGTCCGCACACAAGCAACACACTAGACCTTGTTGCACACGAAATATATGTAATTTTATTCTACATGGACACTGCAAGGGATGGAACCGGGGAGATAGATGATGCACGTCACGCCCCTGTGCGTGGAGAATCCACCGACGCGGCCATGGGTTAGGAGGGAGATGAGACGCGAGTAGAGACGCGGACTGTACAAATAGAAAAATCGGGTTTCCCGAATGGCGCTAAACTCGGACAGACCCCACTAGATATAAGGCCTCGATTGAGTAAGCCCTGGATGCGTGCAATAAGTCGCGAAATTAAACGTGAGGATGAAGGCGAGTCGGGCACAGACCGCCGAGGAGGGTTTCAAGAAATGTTACCCGGTCAGCCTCGTGTCCTGGCTCGGAGGGGACGACGGGCTGTAGTCTGTCTAACCTCTGGCTAGCGGGACACGGGACCAGTGGCCCGATTGTTCCGGCCCAGGGTAGGCCTGGGTGATAATTAAGGTCACGTGGGCCGTCGCCTGGGATGTGTATCGGCGGGTGGGCCGCCGCGAGATGACGGTGTTCCGTCTCGGATTAACAGCCTCGGAGGCTGGGCAGATTTTAGGCTGCCGGGCTGGCCCGGAAGCCCTGAACTATGACTGGAGCGAGATGCGGTCATCAGTATCACGGATGGACCTTAGTTACCCAGCCCGGTTTCAAAAAGATAGGTAGGCCCGCTATCGGTCCCTCAAGTGGTCGGCGCGGGACGTCATTTGAAGAGCGACATAGATAGTTTCGGAGGTGGTTAGGACCCCGGGCGTCTTAGCGAGGGAATCGTATGCCGCCGGAAGAGTAATGCCCCGCGAAGGAACGTATAATGCCGCAAGACGGGGGTGAACATTAGATACCGAGCATTCGAGTCGGGTGATCGCAGTCAGACGGTGCTGGCCACCCGCAGTCAGTCGAGTAGCTCCGGCCATGCTCTGGTCCTTTCGAATAGGTCTGTGACGACAGCTTAACTACCAGCCACGGATAGATAGGGCTTTGGACGCCTATGTGCTGGTAGTCGACGATGTGTGTTGAGTGCAGGATATCCCCGAGTGGACCTGCGTGCGTGGAAGACGCGTGTCGTCTTTGTAGTTAGCCGACGAGAGCTAACCTTTTTTTAGGTCGCCGGGTTGGCCCGGAAACCCTGAACTATGGCTGGTGCGAGATGCGGTCATTAGTATCACGGACGGACTTTAGTTACCCAACCCGGCTTTCAAATTTTAGATACGTCCGCCGCGGAAAGCCCGGGCTACTGAGTGCCCTGCGAGCTCTAGCTCCGGAACCGTGGGCTGGAGTGTGTTAGAGATGCTGACTGACCACTGGCAGCAGAAGGTAGGTCCACGCGTGAGTGGCAGTAAGACAAGGGCTGCGTACGTTGTTGCAAAGGTTTACCGGCCCATGCTGTAAGTCCATTGTTCGCTCAACAACCTGCGTGCGTGTGTGTTTATTATTTGTGTGTAGGTAGTTCGGCATGGTCTTGGACCCGCTATAAGTCGCGTAATTCAAGGGCGGAGTGCCGAAATCTGTGGTGGTTCGTATATTCTATTCGTGTAGCGTGAGCATTATGAAGCGTTTGTCTGATGTACGGAGCATTGTGGTTATGAAGGGATAACGGTTAATGAAATTTAAGGCCAATGACTCAATAATGACTTGCGCACGCCTTAGCACCACCGGGGGAAGTTAGGCAAAGAGGGAGGGATCGGAGACGGCTAACTCTGATAATTATGAGGTATAACTGGACGTATGACAGAAGTGAGAAGGGATGCACGAGTGGAAGTATGATTGTTGTGTATATCCGGTGGGAGATAGCCCTCAGCTAGGAAAGGCGCTGTTGTTTGAGAGTGGGACTTTTTGTTAAATAGAGTTGATTTTCTATACCAATATGATCGAGGGTAATTGATTATCATTTATCATTATCTCCCATTCCCTAACCCTGGCCTATGTGTTTCCGATGATTGATCGCCCCGGAGAATGCAAAGACAGAGTCGGGACGAGTTCGCGAGGGGCTGAACCGAGAAGGGCTTTTACGAGTAGAAGCGCACCCACTAGGCCGATTTTAACACCCCCACTCGAGCCAGCCCACCTGCTGAGAAGCGACCGCCCGGTTAGCCCCGCAACGCCGCGAAATCCCGCTACAATATAAAATATACAAGAGCAAAGTTTGAGTTCAGCTCTGACAATCAGCCGTCTCGCCCACCTGTACCTCCGCCGAGCCGGGTCGGCGCCACGGACGAGGGCTTCACTCTGGCCATGGCGGCGGTGGGCGCGAGGGCGGGGTCACACCGTCCCACACCGACACCTGCGCGGCCGCGGCGCTGCAGCGGCGGCCTCTCCTGCGACCCGTCCGACGCCGACTGGTGGCGTGCAGAGCTGCCGCGTCGCTCCTCTCCCGGCACCAGGTGCTCCGGCGGCGGCCGGGCGGCTGATCGGGCCGCCGCGCCGGCAGGGTCACGCGGCCGCCGCGCCGCCGTGCCGTGCCCTCCGGCTAATGAAGGACCCGGCACAGGGGTCATTATTGGACAGAGCGGCAGACAAACAGCGCCCGGCGGGATCACACATCGGCTCAGTGCGGCCTCAGACGAGCTCAGCAATCCGCCGGCACTGATGAAATTACAAGGAGCTCGCCCAGAGACATGCGCTGCCGTGCAGGTGTGCGTGACGGCTGATGTAGAGCTAATCTAGAGTCATCCCTCTTCAGGATTGGGAGAGACAAATTTTTATAACACGCAGAATGATGGGCCACTGAGTACTGGGCAGGCCTAAGTGTATAATCTTACCTGATTATGGATCATTATGTTGACCTCATTTTGGCCAAGGGTAAGGGGGGCAAAGCACCTATCCTATAAATTTCCAGACTCAGTATCTCACGATCTCTTCAGGAAGCAAAGTTGAAGGACGAACAGATACCTAGCCTGGTAGCCCAATGGCCAATACCGACACTTTCGTCGAATAATGGAGCCAATTTATATGGCACGCAAATTGCATGGCGTTTTAAAACCCGCGCGGGGCTGGGGGGGGGGGTAAATTTTACCCACCCTCGCGAATTTTTGCAATAACTCAAAAACGGCGGCGCGCAGCGCCGCCAAACTTTCAGTACCTTTTTTACATCAATTTGACACGTTTCCTGAAAATTTGAGCGAAATCCGTCGGAAATTTTTGAGAAATTGACGTTTTAGTGACGTCATGTTTGTCATTTTCGCCTCAAAAACGGCAAAATTTCAAACGCCGCTAACATCTTCATTTTTAAAGGAATCAAGACGTAATAAAAAAGGTTATATGTAATTCTACTTTGTCTATCAAACTGCTATCTCGGTTTATTGAAAATTTTGGATTTTGCCCAATTTCTTTCTTCAAAAAACTGACTTTTTGGGGAAAATAATTAAAAAATCCAAAATTTTGCGTGTATCGAAAAAACCGGAATATATGTCAGAGATGTGGTCCATGTGCACCTACATACCAATTTTTAGAAGAATCGGTTCAAAAATGTGGGAGTTATTAAAAATTTCATGACGTCACGACACACAAAAATTTTGAAAAATGAACTTTTTGGAAGTTCTAGACCTCGTACGGAAACAAAAATAGCACCATTCGATTCGCCGTGAAAAACTGCATCAGATAGACACCTTTTTAGGCCTTAACAACCAACTTCAAAATTTGACCTCACTTGACCTGACCATGACCGGACCTCGACCTGAAATTCATCCAGATGTGGTCAATATCACCTATTGAGTGTGCCTATTGAATTCTTTGAATAAAATGACCCATAAAACATGTGTCGCACATGCCCTTTTCTATACTTTGTTTTTGGTGACCTGACCTGACCGGACCTGACCTTGACCTTGACCTCCGAATGATATTTGATGCAGCGAATATTGTCTTGGTAGCCTAAGAACACGTTTTGGGCAATCAGTCTCAGCCCATTCTTCGGTAACTACGGTGCAAGGCCGATACTGTAGAAACTTGCAATTTGTACCCTTGACCTGACCTTGACCTTGACCTCAAGGCTCAAACTTTAAATTAAGTACATGTTTTTAGTTGTTCGTGATGAGAGCTTTCGATTGGCGTTTGAATTTTCCAAATCGGACCATTAGTTCGGGAGATAACAGGGGGGGGGGGTAAAAAATTTACCCACCCCCAGCCCCGCGCGTTCGGCTGGAGACCCCAGCCCCGCGCGGGTTAACGCGCACCGTGCTGGTGGCCTGACCTTAACGCCGAGTGCTGGGGGGGGGGCGTTTTTACGCCCCCCGTCTAACTCGGTTCGTGGGCCACGTACCGACACGCGGTAAGCGGCAATCGAAAGAGCGTCAAAAACAAGGAAGAAAATACTTCAGTCATTTTCAATAAGGTCAGGTGCAAGGTCAGTTCACCAGAAGTCCGATCAAAGGTCAAATTTAGTCCACTTGAAAATTTTGGAAACTGCCAAAGGCTAACTCGGGAACCAATAGAGCTACAGCGCCGCGAAAAAGCGCATTCGATAGCCCTTTAGCAGTCCTTTCTGGGTCTCAGATTTGACCTCAGGAACAGTTTTAGCCCGCAGAGGGCAAAAACTGTAAAAATAGACGTTTTCACGAAAAATGTTTTTCGGCAATAACCTTGGACTCAAGAGAGCCACGAAATTGCTTTTGGCAGCATCGTGTTCCTCTCGTCGAGACGCGTCGAATTAACTTTTTGTTGACCTTTAACCCTCGCCGGCCGAGGGGGGGGGGCGGCGGGTGCCGCCCCCCTAGGGTTTTTTCCCGATAGCTCCAAACACGCTGGCGATAGAGAGCTGAAACTCGGCATACCTGACCTTTGATTCAAGCCAGATCTTTTGACATCAACCACATTTTCGGGTTAGGTCAGGTCACTGACCTATGACGTCATAAGTGAACCTCTGCACGGTCTTCAGATGTCGCAACTTCGCAACGCCCCCACTGCCAGAGGAGCTTTCACAGGGAAATGAAACTTGCAGGATCTAGTATCCATTACGAGTATCACAACTTGTATATCTCGGATTTTTCCTTAAGGTCATATGAGGTCAGGTCATTTTCGTGACCTCACCATGTTATAAGTCAATGGGGAAAAATGAAAAGTGCTATTCTGGCGCCGGGAACGGTCTCCAACTATCTAAGGCACACAGAATCGTGATTTGATGCACTCCTTGCAAGGTTAGATGCGTCACTTTTGCAATGTTGACCTCGCGTGACGTCATTTATGACGTCATCAAGGTCATATTAGTTTTTCGTCAATAACTCCCGATCAAATTGAGCTAGCGAGTCGGGAAAGCCACCAATGGACTCAGGAAGACCTCCCGAATCGAAAGATGTGCAACATGACCTCTTTCGACCAACTTCGTGACCTGGGGGTGCTGACCTGACCGTGACCTGAGACCAACACCCTAAGTTGACCTGATCCAAACAAAAAGTATATCATTCGACGCGCCTGAGCGAGGCGAACACGATGCTGCCAAAAATCGGCGCTCTGCAGCCGTTTTTTGCGAAGTTATTTACCAAAAACTGAACCGTACCTTGGGGCACTTGACCTGGCCCCAGAGGTCACCGGCTGACCTAGGACCTTAACATCGGGTACCAATCTCTGCGTCTCGTAACGGCGCACACGCTCGTTTTTTTCCGCGATGCGCTAGCTCCACCAGGGGCGAAACGGTGAGGGGGGTCGTACCCCCCCCCCCCTCGGCCGGCGCGTATGTATGTAGAAAACCAATAGGTCCGGCGAGGGTTAAAGGTCATTTTGAAAATTTGGCCTCAGGTCAAGGTCATGACCGGACCGGAAAAGGTCATGCCTCATATCAGTCGATCCGTATCGTCGAGTTGACCACATCGACGTGTTTTCACGGCTCTAGCACGTCTCTATCAAAAGTTACAGCCAAAAAACTGCTCGTGAGTCGTGACCGTTCATGACCTGGGATGACCTCAGGGGCATACAGAGGGGTTACAGGTGCATTTTCCGATTCAGTGTGTCATGTTTACCTAAGAACCGATGTTTGAGAGCGTTCTAAACGACATTCGTCCAAAAGAGGCGCATTTCAATTTCCCCCCCATTGAATTATAATGGAGGGGTCGGAAATCGACCTGACCTTAACCCTCGCCCGCACATGCCATTTTCCCATCCTAGAACGCACATGGGGGGGGGGGGTTGCCACCAGGGCTGCGGAGTTGATGGATTTTCGGCGACTCCGACTCCGACTCCGACTCCGGCTTTCAAAAACCAGCTCCGACTCCGACTCCGACTCCGGGCAGAATTGTCGACTCCGACCGACTCCAACTCCCGACTCCGACTCCGCAGACCTAGCAGGGCTGCGGAGTCGACAGATTTTCGGTGACTCCGACTCCGACTCCGGCTCGGGTTTCTAAAATCGACTCCGACTCCGACTCCGACTCCGGTCACAACTGTCGACTCCGACCGACTCCGACTCCGACTCCGACTCCGACTCCGCAGCCCTGGTTGCTACCCCCCTCACCATTTCGTTCCTGTTGGAGATAGAGCTTCGCGATAAAGACCAAAAAGATTCTTTGGGAAAAGACGAATCCAATGATACCCAGTTTTACCTTCTCAGGTCAATCATTGACCTTCCAGGTCAGGTCAAACTAAAACATGTTGCTGTTTTGGGTCACCGTTGGATATCAAGTGCGCTGCTTATCATATACCGATGACGATGCCGTTTTCTGGTGCCAAGCCAGCTAGAACCTCTTTGTCACACTACCCGACCAGGTTTTTGCTGCTGAGGTCATTTCAGGTCAAGTTAGGTCAAGGTCAATTATATGTGTTTGTATGTCTGTGTGTGTCTGTGTGTATACTGGTGAGTGCACCGATTGTTTATGTGTCCATATTACATGAAATCATGATCTGAGAAGCTTTCATCAAAAATGCAGTGAAAAAATCTTCACAAAAAGTAAATTCCGTTTGCCCAAAACCCAATTATCTTAGATGACCTAGGTTGACCTTGACCTTGACCTTGACATCTGTACATCGTCGAACAACATGTTCCATGATAAGTGGGAGGTAAGACTGGCAAAAAAGGCCGAAATCAAGGTGTCAAAAGCTCACAAGGCCCATAGCCAACGCAAGATGTTGAGAATTGGCCATTTGGGTCATGACATGACCTGAAAAACAAGGTCATATCTCCGAAACCAAAAACCACAGAAACTTGAAATTTTCAGTGAACATCAACAAAGGATCTAAGAGGAGCAGCTATAGGTACGAAAAATCAGCCTCCTAGCTCTAAAAATGTTGACTGCAGAGCAGAAAGACTACCTGGGGGGTGGCAACCCCCCCCCCCATGTGCGGGCGAGGGTTAACTTGCGCGGGGCTGGTGGCCTGAGCCCTGAACT